CCCTCCCCCCAAAATAAAATGGACATCATGGGGGAAACTCTGAGATACCTCTAAATCTGTCGGTGGGTACAGACTTCATAAGAGCAAAATAAATGCACCTCCAAACAGTACTCTAAGTTTTGATTTTCTTTTACCCAACCAAGTTTTCCTTGCTCAATTCACACACAAAATCTCATAAGGCACACAATTTAAATTACACAAAACTACGACGGAAACTATAAAAACAAACCACTTTCCTACTATAAAAAAATATATGCAAGCCACTCACATTTTGGTTCATTTGTAGACCTGAAGAGAGGTGGAAGGTCTGGAGCAAGCAGGGGAGGCCAGAGAGTGTGAAAAATCTCTGCCCCAACATCCCATGAGCACCACACCACCAGGTGTGGTACCCCACACTTCGCGCACACAAAATTTTTTTGGTTTTAACAGTTCTTTTTTTGCTTTTTTGGGTCATGCCCAGGGATGCTAAGGTATTATTCCTGACTTGCACTCAGGAATTAGTCCTGGTGATGTTTAGGGGATCATATGGCCATATGGTATGCAGAGGATTGAACCCAGGTCAACCACATGCAAAGCAAACACCTTACCAACCGGACTTTGCTCTTACAAGTTCTGTATAAAATAACCTAGATCAAATTGGATCAATTACATAAAATTGAAATGGCAATACAAAAATCTATTTAATTGCTTAAGGAAAATTTACACAACAGATTTCATTAAATTAATTGGTTACCGTCATGGAGTCAAATATCCCCTATGAAAACCCTACAAAATGTTAGCAAACTGCAGCTACAATATGTGATCAATCACTTGAGCTATATTCCTGACCAGCCCTGTAATATTTATTTTAATAATCTAACAAATTAGATTGTATTTAAACCCATTAGCCTGTAATGCAAATCAGGTTCAATTACTTTAATAATGACAAGCATGCCAAGGAGTTGGAGATAAAGTAAGTACAGTGGGTAGGGCACTGCCCTTGTTCACAGCTCAATCAAACTCAGGTTTGATTCCTGAGACCACAGATGGTTTATGGTCCCCAGAGCCCCACCAGAAGAGATCCCAAAGCACAGGGCCAGGAGCATGCCCTGAGCACAGCTGGGTGTGGCTCAAAAAAACAAGAAAAAAGCATGGCTATCTTTAGGAAGCCACAACTATAAGGTATCATATAAACAAACAGATTCAGATCCAAATCTCAAAACTGTTTGTAGACAAATAATTTAATATCTCCAAATCCCAATTTTCTCATCTAAGAAACAGATATCTCATTCAAAGACCTCTCCTCTGTTTTTTTGTTTTTTTTTTGGGGGGGGATGCATACCCAGCAGTGCTCAGGGATTACTTCTGGCTCTGTGCTCAGGGACCAAGCCTGGATAGCTGTGTGCAAGGTAAGTGCACTAGCAGCTATACTGTCTCTCCAGCCCCATCAAAGACCTATTTTCAAGAATTAACAATAATGTATAAATACATTAGTAGCCACTCTACTAATGATGTTGTGTTATTAGTAATAATGGTTAACAATTTTTCAATAGTATTATAGAAAACATATTTACTAGAGATAGTACTACTCTTTACTAACATACAGACTATAGCCTTACTATGTTTCATCAAAACCAAAAATTCATTTGTGGATTCTGACTCCAAATAACTACCAACTCAAATTAAATAAATTTTCAATTCCTGGCAAAATTGAAATATTTAAGACTGGCTCAGGTTGGGGGAGAAGAGATGTGGCTCAGTGATGAAACACAAGCCTCCTAGCATGGAAGGTTCTGGGTTTAGATCCCCAGGCTCCATTATCCCTCATTTCCCCCAAGTCCAACTGGTTCAAGTTTAAAAATTAGTATCTGACAGATTTCCAGACAGTCTGAAGGGACAAAAGCAGCAAACAATGGGGCTGGAGTGAGTATAGTAAGGTGCTTGCCTTGCTTGCCAACCAGTACCACCCGTCGTGGTACTCAGAACCTGGGAACTCAGAACCAAGAGTAAGTCCTGAGCATTGCTGGGTGTGCCCCCAGACAGACAGACACACACACACCAGCCCACAGTGCTGCAACTATTTTAATAAATTACATATCTATGATATTCAAAATTCAAAGGGATACTGCACATCCTTGGACCTAGACACCTAATCCCCTACACAAAAGCACTCAATTTTATCAATGGGGGGGGGGGTGTAAATGGGTTGGGTTACCAATTCCTGGCTGCACTCAGGGTTTACTCCTAGCTCGGTGCTCTGAGACTACTCCTGGCAGGCAGGCTCAGGGAACTTTATGGGGTGTCCAGGGTTGAATCAGGTTGGCTGTGTGCAAGGCAGAGTATCTGCTGTACTCCCACTCCAGCCCCTCACCCTTACGCACAATCATAATCATAATGGGTCACCACTCCACCTCTGCAGTTTCCAAGCACCTTTCACTTTCACATCAATTTATCTTGGAGACTACATTTTAATTAACAACACATTCCAAGAATGACCACTTGTGACTTCTTTTGGCCAGAATTCAGAAAACACCAACTAGCTTTACAAGGCCACACACAAAGAGATGTCCTTCAATCAACCAGCACTCTTATTAAACAACAGAACAGTAGATAAACTCTGATATTTGCATAGATGGCAACTTAAAAACCTCCATTTGTACCCACAGGCCCAAAAAAATCTTTCACTGAGTTGGAATAATCAACATAATCCACTAACAGAATTGAGCCCACTAAAATGTTAAAGATTATAATCAAATTTAAATTATCTAGCTCTTCTAACTCTTTCCTGTATTGTTCTTTACAATTCTCCTCCAGATTTATAAAGGTAGTATTAAAAAAATCTTGTCTGTACTTCCTGTTTCCTTACTGACAGAACTTGAACCTTTTAATCATAATTTTTTTAAAAAAATAAAAGCAGCACTATTCTAACAATATCATTATTTGAGCAATACAAGTTTTAAGTTTCAAGTATCAAAAATATCGCAATCGAGCCAGAGTGATAGTACAGAGAACAGCACATCTGCCTTACACATGGCCAACAGCTCAATCCCTGGCGTGACATAATGATCCCTGAGCCCACCAGGAGCAATTCCTGAGCACAAAGGCAGGAGTAAGTCCTGGCACAACCAGATGTGGGCCAAAAACAAAAATGAAAAATTGTTTAAGATCAAGGTAAAAGTCATGTAGAGACCATTAAATCATAAAAACAAAGAATTGTTTTACATATTAGCTTTCAGTAATGAGTCGGGGGGGCGGGTGCTGGGGCTCATTTCTAGGGATACCAAAAGGAGTGTCTGGATCAAACCAGGGACAGCAGTATGCAAGGCATGCGCCCTCCTGCTGCACCATCTCTCTGGGCCCTACTCATCTAAAGCTGTCATCTTGGCTGGCTGCTGGCAACAATACTAGGAATAATGTTTTGTTAGGAATATATGTCTGCTCTCCTGGAATACATTTTGAGATTAAAATTAGAATCATTGTTGCACAGTGTATCGGTAAGGACATTTATGACTGACTCTTTCTGCACTGTACCATAAAAACACCAAGTCATCCTTGCATTCAGTGTTTTTGGCACTGAACAAATAAGAGGCAAGAGTTCATACACATGCTCTGTAAAACTGACCATCACAGATTTTTATATGAAATATACCTGCTACTATTTGTCTTTTTTTAAAAATACTTAAGGAATGATTTCGGCTTCATGGTTGGCTGAAAAGGTAACACTATAAATTAAGTAGTTACCAGACTTGTTTCAATTACTCATCACATACCTAGAATGCTGATTTCACAAATCACTGAGATGATCAAAGTACCAACACACAAGAGAAAAACAGCAGTGACACATCCAGTCATGGTCTGTCCCATGCAAAACATTCAATATTGCATTTTAATTCTTTTGTGTTAAAAGAACCAGAAAAAAACATAATCCTATGGATCCGGGATACCAAAAAATCATATTGATACTTGCCTCATTTTGAGTCTTAATTAGGAGCACATTTTGGGATGGGGTGGGGAGGGTAGAAATCCTAGCCAACACTCATAGTCATCTAAGTGCTCACGGAGTATTTAGAGTAATTTGAGAACCAACCCTCCCCCCAATAAATAATTAAAAAAAAATATGCCCCTTAAAATCATTGCAGGCAGATCTGGGGGATCACGAGCACACAACTCCCTTCCTTTAGGGAGCCCTGACAACGTATTCTCCCGAGGAAAGCCCACTTTTTTTTTTGAAATGGGGCTGTTTTTCCAAAGTAACCAGCAAGCCAAGGAGCAGAGGCATCATAATGAAGTTTCCAGGCGCAACCCCGCAGGCACCGAGCATTGTCTAGGGGGGGTGGGGGTGGGGGGGTGTTGGAAAGACACGCTCCGATCTGCACCTCGTTCTAAGGACGGGGAATTAAAACTGCCCAGACCAGACCCTTACACGGTCACTTCCAACCTTGCCTGGCTGAGAAGAGCCCGGTGACCCCCCCACCCCCCCACCCCCCCGTCCGTCAGACCCCCACCCCACCCCCACCAACTCGCCCTTTACCTGGAGGATTGGGGGGGGGGGGGAACCAGCTCGTGGGCAGAAAATAAAAAGGCGGCCTAGCTAGCTAGCGCCCAGGGCTGGCTGGGGGGCGCACGGGAGCGGGGGGCGTGGGGGGGGGGGGGAGTCTGGAATTCATTTCCGATCCGGCGCCCCGCTCGGCCGAGTGTCGCCCGCGGCGGGGCCCTGCCCTGCCCTGCCCGTCCGAGAGCAGGGGCGCCCCAGCCCGCCCCGACCACCCCCCACCCCGGGTTCCCCGGCCCGGCGCCCCCGCCTCGGACGGGGACCGGAACCGCCAAGTGCGGGGCCTGGGCCGCCGCGGCCTCCTCCGGATCCGGTTCCACCTTCCCCTTCCCCCACCCGCCGGCTCCGCGGGCGGCCCGGCCGCGCCCGGGGGCGACCCCCACCGCCCGCCCGCCCGCCCGGGCCCGGGACGCGAGGGAGGGGGCGGACGCGGGGACGGGGCGGGGGGCGTCCGCGGCTCGGCGCTGACCTCCTCGCTCTTCAGCACCTCCTTGAACTCGCGCTTGATTCGCTGCACCGCGATGTTGGCCATGTCTCCGCCCGCAGCCGATTCGTACCCGCCTCCTCCGCCACCGCTACGACCCCCGCCGCCGCCGCCGCCGCCGCCGCCTCTTCCTCCACCGCTTCCTCCCTCGGCGAGTCGCCCCCGAGCCCGCGAACGCTGCCACCGCCACCACCCTCAAGCCGCCGCCGCCGCCGCCGCCGCCGCCGCGCTCGCCTCGCTGTGGAATCACCTCCGCGCCCGGCCACCAAAATGGCGGCGGGTCCGCGCATGCGCAGCGCCGGCCGGCCGGTCGGGCGCGCAGCCGCCGCGCGCAGCCCCGCGCACACGCCCGGGCGCGAGCTCGCGCCGCGCCGCGCCGACCGCGGGCTCCCGGCGCTCCGCGGGGGGCGGGGGGAAGGGGGCGGGAGAGGGGCGTGGCCTCGACGGCGCCGCCCTCGCACCCGCGCGGCTGGAGCGGGCGGGGGAGGGGCGGGGTGCGGCGCCCGGGCCCTGGCTCGAGTTCGAGCCCGCGCGCAGCCCCACGCGGGGCTGCGAGCTCCCTCCTGACTCCGCCAGCCCCGGAACTCACGAGCGTCGTGTACACGCTCCAGGAAAACTCCCCTCCCCCGCCCCCCCCCCCCCAGCCGTAGGCCAGAGCAGTAAGGAGCCCAAAAATTAAAAAAAAAAAAATGCGCGGCTTTTGTTCTCAGGCCGGGTTCTGGCTGTGGCCCCGGTCCCTACGGTCAGGGCGGGTCGCTGCAGGGCGTCTAGACTTTTGCAGCCTAGGTGGAGTGCTGGGTCGCTGCGAGGCTTCTTGGACGCGGGATGGCCCTGCGGGGAGCTGACCCCGGCGGGCCCACCGGCCCGATTTGCTGACCTCTCTCGGGCCTATAATGAATTCCCCAGGACTGCCTGGAACTAAACACCGAGGTTTTGAAACCAGGGGCCTCCCCAGAGAGCACGCGCGCGCACACACACGCACACATACATACGATTGCTGGGGACTCATCTCCCCCGGGGCCTCCCCAGAGAGCGCGCGCGCGCGCGCGCACACACACACACACACTCGATTGCTGGAGGACCCATCTGCCCCAGGGGTCACACACAATTGCAGGGGGACCCATCTCAGACACACACACACACACACACACACACACACACGATTGCTGGGGGGGGGGGGGGAGGACCCATCTCCCCGGGGGGTCCCGAGGAGAATCAACAATTGCTTTTCTGAGCTCCCGATGGCGCTGCCCAGGGCCCCGGGAAGGAGAACCGCTCCACGACTAAGTAGTCTGATGGAAATGGTTTGCAGGTCGTGACAATCCGTGAAGACTGCGGACATGAGTCGTGGAGCTGCAGGGTAGGCAGCTTTATTTCAAAAGCCTGGGGCTGGCCCTGGTATTTTATTCACTTGGAAAATACTAAGTAAAAGGTAAACTCGAGTGTTGCAACTGGAGAGTGAGTTTCAAAAGCCCTCTTGAAAGAGGTCGTAAAATAAAGCGCTTGTGAATGGAACTTTTTGGAATAGGAGTTTATTTGGAAATTTATGTTTCCTGCAGCTGGAGAGAATACAACGGGTGCAGCGCTTGCTTTGGACGTGACTGACCCGTGTTCGATCCCCAGCATCCCATATCGACCCTCAGGACCCCCCCCCCGCCCCCCAGAAGCTCGCTCCTGAGCACAGCCAGGTGTGGCCCAAAAATAAATTTAAAACATTTATATTCCCGGGTCGGAGAGATAGTACAGGGGTTAAGGCGTGTGCCACTCAGCCAACCTGGTTGACCCTCCAAAGAGTCCTCTGAGCTCCTCCAGGAGTCTTCCTGAGCACAGCAGGTGTGCCACCCCCCCCCAATAAAATAATTATATTTCATATGTACTCCAATACAGCAGTAGACATTTTTCACAAATTAGAAACAATTATCAAAAGTGGGGGGGGGTGTGGATGTGGAGCAATAGCACAGCCGGTAGGGTGTTTGCCTTGAATGCAGCCGACCTGGATTCGATTCCCAGCATCCCAGCATCCCTGAGCACCGCCAAGAGTGATTCCTGAGTGCAAAGCCAGGAGTAATCCCTGCCTGAGCATCGACGGGTGTGACCCAAAAATGCAAAAAAAAAAAAAGTGTGGTGTGGCAACAAAAAGGGAAGTAAGCACGGGAAGTAAGCCATTCGGCACATGGCAAAAAGGGAATTTCAGTCTTAAAAATCAAGAGGGGATTTTTATTTGTGGGGGCGAGGCGCACATCTGGGATTCAGAGGTTGTTTTCCAGCCCTTTGTGTTACCTTACCTCTAAGAAAAGATTTGGGCAGGAGGGGGTCTCACACAGGGGTAAGGCCCTCCCGTTGATCGTCGATTTGCTCGAGCGGGCCCAGTAACGTCTCCATTGGAGACTTTGTTGTTACTGTGTCTGGTATATCGAATACCCTCGGTAGCTTGCCGGGCTCTCCGAGAGGGGCGGAGGAATCGAACTCGGGTTGGCCATGTTGGCCGCGTGTAAGGCGAACGCCCTACTGCTGTGCTAGCGCTCCGGTGCTCAGGGATAATCCCTGGTGGTGCTCCAGGAACCACGCCCATGCAGGAGACCTCACGGGGTCAGCAGCTTGCAAAGCGAAGCACCTTACCTGCTACACTACTCTAGGGTTCCGGGAAGGATCCCCTAACCCACTTCCAGCCCCGCATCTCCACACCATCTGTCTTCTCCAACTTAGGTTTCAGATCTGAAAAATAAGGAAATGAGATGAGATGATCTTCCCAGTTTTTAAGAGTTCAAAATTCTAGTACATTATCTCCAAAAAGGTCCCTATGTGGCTAAGTACACTAATATAATTTTAGGAAAAAAAACATTGGTGGTGATGGGAAACATACACTGGTGAAGGGATGGTCATTGGAACATTGTATGACTGAACTCAATCATGAACAACTTAGTATCTCACAGTGATTTCAATTAAAAAATAAAGTAAACCAAAACCAAAAATTACCTTCCAGCAGAGCCCCCTAGTGGTCTTAAAAGGAACCAACGACATAATGTGAGTCATGGAACAGTGGATTATTGGCGTCCTACAAGTGATACAGTGCTCTGTGTATTTGTTTCAATACATTTAAAAATAACTAAAGAGTATACCTTGTATTTATTGCCTTCATTCAATCCCCAGTCTGAAAATTGAAACAGTATCAAGGAGGGGGTGAGAGGGGGAGGGTTCGCTGAAAGCATGGACCATTAAGTAGAAAGGATCCTAGGGTTTGGCAATTTGGCGCTTTTATTTTTTTGGAGCGGGGGTGGGGGAAGGGAGAGTGTGGGGTGGGGTCACACCCAAACCAGCTTGTTCAAGGCTAACCCCTGGGTTCAGGGATCACTCCTGGCAGAGTTCAAGAGGGCCAAATGGGTCTCTGAACAGGAACACTGATTGTCCACATGCAAGGCAGATATCCAACCCATTATACTATTGCTAAGGCCCCAGGGTTTGGCGTTTTAAATTGGCCCATACCTGGCAATGCTCAGGGCTTATACTTCCTGGTGAGATTCAGGAGGGGACTGAACCCAGGTTGGCCATGAGCAAGACAAGCATCCTACTCCAGCCCTGAGTTCAGAGATTTTTAAATGCATGTACGCTTAAAGGTGGACATGAAATTGTACTTTTAGGAAGTCATTCTGTAGATGTTCTAGTGCCTCCTCACTGCTCACACTGTGAGATGTTCTGGCAAAGGAGTGATAACTGAAAATTCAAAATCAGGGGCTCTAGCCATATTACAATGGGTAAGGTGACCAAGTTGCACCCACCAACATCAAGATAAAAGTTAGGATCTCATGCTGCAAGGTATATGCAACCCAAGTAAGCTGGGTGGAGTGTTGAGGCCACACCTGACAGTGCTCAGGACTTAATATTGACTCTATATTCAGGGGTCACTCCTGGCCATGTGGAGCCTAAGAGATGGTACAGTAGGTAAGATGCAGCCTTGAACATTGCAGCCTGCCCTGATTTTTGTCCCCAGCACCATCATAGTCTCATGAAACCACCAGGAGTGGTGGAGTAAGCCAGGAGTAAGCCCTGGACACAGCCAGGTGTGGCCCAGAAAACAAAAACGAATTCCGAGACTGAGAGATAGTATAGTGTGTAGGGCGCTTGCTTTGAAGGCAGCCAGTCCAGGTTCTATCAAAGCAGCCCATACCCATATGGTTTCTGAACTCTGCTGAGTGCAGCACAAAAAACAAATATATACATGGATATATATGGCAAAAATAGTACTCTGCCAACCCCTGGTAATAATTCCAACATTGATGGTAATAATTTTATTTATATTTTTGCTTTTGGGTCATACTCAGCATTGTTCAGTACTTACCATAAGATCTGTACTCCTGGTGGGCCATATATGAGGCAAGCACCCTGCCCTCGTACTATCCCAAAGGTTTAGTAGATCCTGATAGTACATTTACTATTCTCTGTATTCACATTTTATGCTGTTCTAAATATATAACAAAAATTCCTTGGGGCTGGAGCAATACCACAGCGGGCAGGGCGTTTACCTTGCACGCATCCGACCCGGATTCGATTCTCAGCATCCCATATGGTCCCCCAAGCACCACCAGGAGTAATTCCTGAGTGCAGAGCCAGTAGCAACCCCTGAGTGTTGCTGGGTGTGACCCCCCAAAAAAAAATTCCTAAAGTCCTTTCCTGACCTTGTCTTTTGCCAGCTTTATTGTTTTTTTTTTTTTCATGTATTTTTTTTTCTTTTTGGGCCACATCTGGCGATACTCAGGTGACACTCAGGGTCACAACTGGTTCTGTACTCACTAATCACTCCTGGCAATGCTTGGGGGACCATATGGAATGCTGGGGATCCAACCCGGGTAGGCCTCATTCAAGGCAAGCACCATATCACTGCAGTATCTCTCACCCTTATGCCAGTTTTTTGAGACTTTTCACCTCCATCTCACTATACTTAGTCTGGCCAAACCTCTTGTTTATTTATTTTTGGTTTGGGGGATACACTTCCGGCGGTCAGGGCTTATTCCTGCTCTGAACTCTGGGATCATTCCTGGAGCAAATGGGGAGACCATGTCAGGTGACAGAGATCAAACCCGGGATGCCTGGGTGCAAGGCAAGCACCCTACATGCTGTGTTATGCTCTGGCCTCTTTTATTCCAAATTTAGAAAATAGCTTGGATCCCTCTCCATTGTGCCTTCTAGAGTATCTGCAGCATAGAACGGAAAGCGGGATGGTGGTAGTAATGATTTGGTTTTTGATT